AGCTTCAGCGATGAGACCTGCTGGGTCTGACTGCTCTTTGCACCAGAAAAACGATCTAGAAATAAGTAAAAATGTCTTAAATCAAGTGTAGTTACCCTTAATTTGAGCAGGTAAATGAGATAGTTTGCAAATGAAATGAGTTTTACTCTTAAAGTAAGATATTTAAATAAAATACACTTGAAATAAAACAATGCAATTGTGTTTTCCTTTTTTAAAAGTAATTTGTCTTTTTCCATTGGCAAAATGTATCGTTAACCTCCTCAGTCAAAAAACAAATACAATTATTAAAAAAAAAAATTACTTATCTATATTTTGATTTCTTCCAATGTTGGCTTCATTTTGACTACAGCTTCCTCTAAACGGCTTTAAATGCAAAAGGAAGACATTTTAATAGAGTCCCAATTAAAGTTTATACATATATATATAAAACCTTTTCACAGACTGCAGCTTCACCTTGTCTTTGTCCTTTAGGATGTCCAGCATGCTGGGGATTTCTGCAGGCCTTGAAACCTCAACCATCTGCTCATCTTTCTTCTTCCACTCCTCTCTTTTATCAGCTCTATGGAGGAAAATGTTCCCTGCAGTGCTGGCCCAGGTGGAGGAGGTGGAGGAGCCCCACTAGCAGCAGCTGGAGTAAAACATGAAGCAAAGCATAAAAAGATGTAGCTCAGGTGGGGATCTGCTGCCATCTAGTGGAAACATTACAGGAGAACGTTAATAAATCATCAGTTCATGGAAAACTGAGAAAACAGTAAACCTTGTACCTGACAGCAGCATCTTTTCCTGAGCCATGACAGTTTGAGCTGTCTGAGTTTCCAGAGCGTTGATCTTCTGGGTCGCCTCATCGTTTGGGAATGATGGACCCTGTGGATCAGGAGGGCCCTCATAGAGACCAGGCAGGGACCTCTGACAGGAGAGGGGTCTTCTCCAAGGTCCAGGCCTCTGGGCTCGAAGCTTGGATATATTTTTATTTAACTTCATTACAACAGAGCAAAGCAAAGCAGTGAAGGGGAAGTGACTATTATGTTTGTCCTGTCACAGATTCTTCCACCTGAGCTGAGAATCTCTGCAGCTCCTCCAGAACCTCCACTTTTATACTGAGCTCAAATTGCAACAGGTGGACTTTGTCCTAAAGTGCTGATTTGCAAAGGCAATAGATTGTCTTAAATTTCATTTCAGGGTATCAGTGTATAGACGTCTGAACATTAATGGACGCTGCAATTTTTAACCTCATTTAGCAAAGAAGAAATAAAAAAGACTTTTCATTAAGAAGCACTACTATGGGATGGTTTATGACCTGTAGTCCCAATCAAACACCAAACTTTGAGAAAATTAACAAAAATGTGAGAAAGATATAAATGTCCAATGAATCGACTGATTGTTGACAGCAGCAAAATATTACAGCAAAAGTGGTCACACCAATGTGGACCTGAAGAAGTGCATAAAAATAACAGAATAATGACAGTAAAAGAAAAATAAAATAAACAAATCAAAAACTGTACTGAACAGTGTTTTTACAAATATATAATCAATATACAGCTGTGGACATTTTCACAGTATATATATACATACATATATATATACATATATATATATATATATATATATATATATATATATATATATATACACATATATATATATATATATATATATATACACATACATATGTATGTATATATATATATATATATATATATATATATATATATATACACATACATATGTATGTATATATATATATATATATATATATATATATATATATATATATATATATATATATATATATATATATATATATATATATATATATACATATATATAGTATTAACAAAATAAAAATAAGTCTGAGTAGCAGTGCTTTACAACATACATACACTCACCGGCTACTTTATTAGGTACCCCATGCTAGTAACGGGTTGGACCCCCTTTTGCCTTCAGAACTGCCTCAATTCTTGGTGGCATAGATTCAACAAGGTGCTGGAAGCATTCCTCAGGGAGTTTGGTCCATATTGACATGATGGCATCACACAGTTGCCGCAGATTTGTCGGCTGCACATCCATGATGCGAATCTCCCGTTCCACCACATCCCAAAGATGCTCTATTGGATTGAGATCTGGTGACTGTGGAGGCCATTTGAGTACAGTGAACTCATTGTCATGTTCAAGAAACCAGTCTGAGATGATTCCAGCTTTATGACATGGCGCATTATCCTGCTGAAAGTAGCCATCAGAAGTTGGGTACATTGTGGTCATAAAGGGATGGACATGGTCAGCAACAACGATGCTGCTCCACACGTCACTGAGCGAGGCTGTTGACCTTCCCAAGATGGCGCCCGTAATTCCTGCGCCGCGACAGTCAATGCGGGGTCTGCTCTACGCAGCAGCTGATGAAATGAAACTGAAAGTTTTTCCGTTTATTTCCTTCAGCCTCCATTTTAAGTCGCAGACATCTAGACAGTAACCAGGGTGAGTTCTAACAATTTCTATTAAACACATTCTGTCCGTTTTTACATTTTTCTTTGGCTTCATGTCTGATATGTACCTGGAGGAGGAGGAGGAGGTCAGCATTGAATGTGTTCATACTTGTTCAGGGTTGCGGTGAGGCCTAGAAGAAGCAGCCCATCCTGAACCACCATCAGAACGGAATCGTCCTTTATTTGCCAGTTAAACATTTCGTCCCGTATTGAACCAATAAGGAAGCGATTTGTTCCTTGTTTTCAGAAATGTCTGACACACATATCTGTCAAACTAACATCAACACGAACACAGTTCACTTCAGTTTATTTCTATAGGGTGTAACTTTGGGATAAACGTTGGTGGGAGGGGGTCTAAGGGTGGGGGGCTCTAAGGGTGGGGGCTGATGGACCTACAGCTGCTCAACCTGAACGCTTTCAACAGGGTTAATATTTTCCAAAAATGAGCTCAAACATATTTATTGAATGATTTCCTATTGTTGAGAATACAGAGAGCCACAATACTCTGATATTTCTAGTTATAGACAGATGCCTGCCTTTAGTGCTTTATTTATAAAGGGACCAAAAACATTAATGTATAAAAGGCCATATGATGGGGCTGCATTTCAATATATTCAGACCCAGATGGTTCCTGCTGGAATCAGGTTCCTCTGGTCCTCTACACACATCATGGGAATCAGCTTTCTGCTTTACAGGACACTAACTGGACCTGAACCACTGGGAACTGACTGGTTCTGGTTTCTCTCTCAGACTGACTGAAGTCCAGAAGATGGAAGATTGGGATCTAAAGGAGGACAGAGCAGAACCTCCAGGATCCAGCTGTCCGTCTATGAGGAGTGACCGGTCCAAAGATTGGAACCCTCCAGAGTTCAGTGCAGAACCTGGACCCTCAGACATAAAGTAAGGAACGAGTTTCTAACTGATCCATGTAACTCTGCAGAGATAGAACCTCTAGAATCTGAACTGGTTGATCTTTAGCATCTAAATCCAAAGTTACTCTGTCCTTTCTTTTCTTAAAAGACAGCAAGAACTTCATGGCATGGATGAGTTCAATAAATAAGATAATAAATAAGTTCATAGATTAAGATGAGTACAAGGAAATCCAAGCTAAAAATATATAAATATTAAATCAGAGAGAGACGTCTCACCTTTGTCAAAGCTCTAAGTTAATTACATGAGGTAGTGAGTGCTCTCACCTTTAAAAATATCTTTGACGTATTTTTATCTGGAAAATCCTGTTTCATCAAGTAACCTCTGAAACTGTTGATGTTAAAGTTGACATTTGTGTTTCATGTTTCTGCCTTGTAGGATATTCGTCTTTGTTAGAATTGCTTTGCTCAAAAAAAGCACTTGAATATGTGTTGAAAGTATTTAGTGTAAAGAGTACAAGAAATGTTTCCCAGATGTTTGTGTTAAAGCTAAGCTGGCTAAGTGTAAAATGTTCTGATGATATTCAGATACAGATATTTGTCAGTGATACAATGTTACAATACAAAATACAAAAACAAAGAAAGAAATCAAACCAGATTTATGAATAAAGGTTCTTCAGAGAGAATGGAGGAAAAGTGAACCTTGTGTGGAGAACTTTGGTCTAGCTTCACATGGTCACGCGTTGTGAGGACAGCACATCTTTAGTTTTTCTTTCAGCTTAAAGCTAAATAAACACTGGAACTTTAAACCTTCTGCTTCTCTGCAGCAGTTTGTGTTCAGAGCTTCTTCTTCTCTGGTTTTTATCTCAGAGTTTCTCACTGATTGATGTGATCTGAATAACAACATGTTTGTGTTTCAGAGGTCAGAACCACAGACGGAGAGCAGAACCTCCAGGATCCAGCTGTCCGTCTATGAGGAGTGACCGTTCCAAAGATCAACAACCAGACTTCAGTGCAGAACCTGGACCCTCAGACCCAAAGTAAGGAACCAGTTTCTAACTGATGGATGTGACTCTGCAGAGATAGAACCCCTAGAATCTGAACTGGTTGATCTTCAGGGTCTCACTGGTTTGGACTTTGTTCTGCTGGTTTCTCATCAGCATCCAACAGATTACTGACAGGTCCAAAGTCATTCTCTCTCCTTCCAGCCTGATAAATCCCAGAAGTTGTTCAGATGTGAATCTAAATGAGCAGAGATAGAGACTCAGTGTGTCATGAATCAGCACAATGGCTCAGGTTCCTTCCAGCAGGTGGAACTGGGCTGTAGAAGCAGCCCTCACTGCAGCGGCTCCTTGGTGTCTTTGTCCTCACAGTCCTACCTGTGGAGCTGCAGGTTGGGTCCGTTCAGAGCTTCATCATGTTGCTCAGAAACCAGAACTCTCCCAGCAGCTGTTCATCTGCAGCTCTGTGGAGTCTCTTTCCTCCCAGCATCAAACAAACCTTAGCGTCACCCTGCCTCTGATCCAGTTCAGGTTCTATTGGGGTTCTGGGTGGATTAGTGATTAGTAGTCCAGACTGACTCTGTGCTCCAGCTCAGCTCACTGGCTGAACTCCTCCTCCCTCCACAGTTCATCTCGTCTAGAATGAGCTTCATCTTCCAGTTAATAAAATGAAGGATCTCAGAACAAAGCTGGAAGAATCAATCAGGTTAGAGATCTACAGAACGCCTCCCAGTGAAACCAGTTAATTCTAACTGGGAGCCTCATTAATCCCAGTTTGGATCAATAATAGACAGAAACTAGTCAGACAGCAAAGAGACGGTTCTGACCCAGCTTCTGGTCCTCTGTCTGTGGTGGACGTTCATGAACATCTTCATCTTCAGTAGGACAGCCCCACCCTGTTGGTAGTGAACTATTTCAGTGATGAAGAAATGTCTCCACAGACGGAGGAAGAGGAGCGAATCCCAGAGTGGAGAAAGATCCAGAACCGGAGCTGGACCGCTGACAGCCAATCAGAGCAGCTGTGCAGCAGGTAAGACTGAACATCTCCAATCAGAGCTTCCTTCTATCGTCTCTGTTGAACCAATTCCATGTCTTTAGTTGATTTGGAGATTCAAGCTTTTCAAAGTCTTTCTGGGATCAATTATTCCAACTACATCTCAGTATTTCCAGCTGCTGTAAATGTTCCTTCTGTGTTCAACCCAACAACCTATTGGGTTTGCTGAACTGGTTCTGTTTTCAGCCCTTTGGTCTAAATGCATTAAAGGAATAGTACACCCAAAACATGATTAGCCTTCATCTTCTACTCACCCCCATGCTGAACAACACTCTAGAGTACTTTTTTGATATCTCAAATGCATCTGGAGATCTGGGAGGCTTCTTGCTGTCTGCTGACATTCAAATAATGGAGGTCTATTGTGCCCGAGGCAGAAAGGTCCATAAAAGTCCACAAAAAACTTGTCAATATTCCTCCATACTGCTCGTCCAATGTATTCCAAGTGTCCTGAGTGGGTAGCGTCCATAATTTACTCGAAACGAAGTCATTTAGAATGTTTTTAGAGCATAAACAGTAGTGTATAGGATTTCCTGAAAGCGCGCGCCTGCGAGTTCACGAGCCTACGGAAACCGTGGCAGACCAAACCAAATGAAAGTGCGCATTCAGCGTCTGCTCTGCCGATAATGCAAGCGTAGAAGAAGAAATTTGCTGTTTACCTGTGCAAAGAAAGAAACAACGAAAGAAAAATGTCCGAGGACTTCAGTGTTGAGGAAGAGCATGAGTTCTTTGCCGAGCTGAATGCGCTTTTTCGTCTGGTTTGGTCTGCCGCGGTTTCCGTAGACTCGTGAACGCGCTTTCAGGAAATCCTATACACTACTGTTTATGCTCTAAAAACATTCTAAATGACTTCGTTTCGAGTAAATTATGGACGCTACCCACTCAGGACACTTGGAATACATTGGACGAGCAGTATGGAGGAATATTGACACGTTTTTTGTGGACTTTTATGGACCTTTCTGTCTCGGGCGCCATAGACCTCCATTATTTGAATGTCAGCAGACAGCAAGAAGCCTCCCAGATCTCCAGATGCATTTGAGATATCAAAAAAGTACTCCAGAGTGTTCGAAGGCCCGGGAGGACGCCGGCCAGACTGCGCGGCTCGAAAGGGATGAAAGGACCTCGTCCCAGCCTGGTCTCGAGCTCTGTTCCTCCGATCTAGAGCAGGTCCCCGGACCGATCTCTGACCTGGTAACAGACCCTGGGGCTCAGTGGGAGAAGGAGAAGGCACTAAGGACCTCCGTGAAGGACCCGCAGCTGCCCAGGTGCTTACTGGCTGGCGATCACGTCTGTGAAGCCCTGCCAGCTGTTGCCTCGTTCTAGAGGCCTGAGCCGTACGGTCCAAGGCGTCCAGTGCCGCTGAACCAAAAAGCTCCCCCGGGACCACAGGCAGGGCCCGGAGGGTCCTCCTACAAGGCTCAGTTAGTGGTGACTGCGCCAACCAGACCTGGCGGCGAGCATGAACCAGTGTGGAGAGTGTGCGTCCAAGTTCCCTCGTCATAAGAGCAAAGGCCTGCAGAGATGCATCAACCAGGCCTTGCGTGGCATGATCCAGCGGAACAGATTCCAAGGAGGAAGACAGGGCCAGCATAAGATGGGAGAGAGAGTTCCCAATCCGGCCCATGCGGGCCCCAGAGTCATAGGCCTTACAGAGAAGGTCGTCGGTAATACGGCACTGAGGACGCGGACAACGGGCATTGGGCCGCAAGGCCTCATCAGGCGGGATTATAAGAGAGGCAATGCCCGGTTCCACCGCTGGCATCTGCCCCAAGCCAACCTTGGGTGCCTCCTGCATAGCTGCCAGGACCCTGCCATCCGTCGTCAGACGTGAAAACGCCTTGGTGTCTGACCAGCAAGCATGCAGTTCCCGCACATACTCCGCCGAGGGAGGAACCACAAAGGCAGTCTCTGACCTACTGCGCCTAAAGAAGGCGCTGGAAGCCGCAGGCTGGGCCTGAGGAACACTAATCTGTAAACGGGCAAGAGCCGTTCGAATAGCGGATGTCACAGACTCCCCCGTATCCTCCTGGGAGGCAATGGAGTCCGACCCAGAGGCCCCGGAGCCCAGCTCCGGAAGGTCCTCACAGAAATGGGTGCCAGAGGCCGCCACAGAAACAGCATCGTCGTCATTGACTGACGTTTCATCCTGCTCGGTAGGGAGAGCCGTGCCGCGATCACCAGCAGTCTGAAAGGACTGGAGGAGGGCTTTCATTTGGGCCAGCTCAGTAGTGAGATGATCCACTCTGGTGGACAACCTCCCTGCATCGGTCCGTCTAGCACGCTTCGTCGGTACCGAAGGTGCAGCCACAGTAGATCGTTTGCACACCGCTTTCTCCATCGGCAAACGAGCACGCGGCGAAGCGCTCGCCCAGTCGGTAGGCTGCTCCAGTGCAGCCAACCGATCCAGTCTGACCGACCGGGGCATGACGCGACAGTTGGGGCAAGCGTCATCTGACAGCGCCTCCCGGAGATGTTCCACACCGAGGCAGGAGGGACACAAGTCATGCCCGTCATCCGGCTGAAGTGGAGCCAGACAGGTCGAGCAACATAAATTATCCAGCATCATACTGCTGAAAGGCGTGATCAGCCTGCTACCAAGGACAAGTCAACACGAGCAGGAAACGCTACTGGCGACTCGTTGTAGGAAAACCCCCGCAGAGATTCCAAACTCAGCGTGAGCAGAAACGCCACTAGCAAATCGATTATTAACTAAAGATGAACTCAGCACGAGCAGAGACGCCACTGGTGAGTTTAGGCAAACAAACTATAGAAGAACCCAACGCGGGCAGAAACGCTACTGGTGGGCTTAGGCAAACAAACTGAAAACAACTCAGCGCGAGCAGAAACGCCACTGGTGAGTGTAGATAAACAAACTATAGAAGAACCCAACGCGAGCAGAAACGCTACTGGTGGGCTTAGGCAAACAAACTGAAAACAACTCAGCGCGAGCAGAAACGCTACCGTGAGTCAAAAGAGCCACAAAATTAACGTGGCAAATCAAAGCGAACAGTAAACTACTGCTGAGAAAAGAACGAAAACTTACCAGTCACCGCAGATCTGGTAAGGTGAAAGCAGCTTGTGCAGCCCCTGGAGGGCGAGACTTACCCGCAGCTCCGACCAAACCCGGTCACGGGGCTACCAGCAACAAGCAGCCAGGAAACTAGTGGTATACACAGAAGCAACCAGCTTCACACGACCACACTCCGGTACTCAACACACCTGCGCGCGAGAAGAACAAAAGGGATTGATTGCCGGGTGCCACGTGACTATATAGAGTCACGTGGGTCCCCGGCAGGTCACAGCTGACTTTGTTGTCATTAATACTCGACCTGCGCATGCGCAAGAATGATCATTCAGTGCTTGAAGCACCGCCTCTGGCGGTCAGTAGGGATGAAATAGAACTTCTCCTTTAAGCTGGAGGTCATTTTGATGCATGAAAACAAAAAGGTAGAGAAAGCAACCTGCTGCTCTGCTGCTTTTCCAATAATAGGGAAGGAAAGTCTGAGAGACAGAAACCTGGTTTCCTCTGACAATAGATCACTGATTACAGGATAGATATTTCTATTTACACCATGGAGTCATTCTAACAATTTTCTAAAGGACCAAATCAGTCCCATGTCTTTTCCAGTCTGTAATTATCCTTTTAAAACATCCAATCCCGTCTCTGAGTAAGAAATGCCATTTAAATGTGAACACTAGCTGCTCCAATGAGCTCGGTGTGGAACAGGTGAGGACCAGGATCCAGATGAGATGCAGGACACCTCCTCATAGAAGAAAGGTCAGTTAAACTGGGCGAAAATATTGCACAGTATATGCAATTAATAGACACAGTCTGAACCAGGAACACCAGACGATGAGGTTAAGACAAATATAAGACTGCCACAGGGAATAAACAGGAACTTAAAGACATGCAGACGTAATTAAAGAACTATGGACAGCTGGAATAAATGAAGGATGGAGAAACCAATCAGACAGAGAACTGGCAAAACCAAGAAACAGAGAACATGGACCATGATACTTTCTCTGCTAGATTAGAGCATTTCCTCTATTTTTCTTAATTGATGTTGGAAAATGCTGAGGAAACCTTTTTCTTTCTCTCTGCCTCTTCTGGAGCTGCTGTGTTTGTGGCAGAAGGTTAAATAAAACCGGTCCAATGATGCTAAAGAGTTGATGTTGCTGAAAACTGCTACTGGTTGCTGTCAACATTTCTTGATCTTCTCTGCTTTGGGAATCAGATCCTGACAGTGAACAGATACTGAACACAAAACAGAGATGAACAAAGATGCTGTCTGACAATTGAACAAGGTTCTGGTTCTGAGGACAGATCGGATCGTTAAGCATCTGATCAAGTGAAGGAGGAGACCTTCTAATGATAACACCTCCTGATGTTCCAGATGGTTTGGTTCCAACTAAATCAGCTTTTTTCCTTCAGTCGTCTTTTCTTCTGTGTTTCAGCAGATGTTGGTCTGCAGGAGGTTCTAGAGAAACATAAGATCAGTCTGAGGAGGAGATGTGAACGTGTGGCTGAAGGAATTGATGAAACAGGAAGTAGAACCCTCCTTAACAGGATCTACACTGATCTCTACATCACTGAGGGACAGAGTGAAGGGGTTAATACCCAACATGAGGTGAAGCAGCTGGAGAGAGTTTCCAAGATCCAGAACCTCCATGATTCTCCAATCAGGTGCCACGACATCTTCAAAGCCTTCCCTGACCAACATGGAGCCATCAGAGTGGTTCTGACCAACGGCGTTGCTGGTGTTGGAAAAACCTTCTCAGTGCAGAAGTTCACTCTGGACTGGGCAGAGGGCTTGGAGAACCAAGATGTCAGTGTGGTGGTTCTGCTTTCCTTCAGGGAGCTGAACCTGATCAGAGATCAGCAGCACAGTCTTCTCACGCTGCTCCATGTTTTCCATCCAACCCTCCAGAAGCTCCCAGCAGAGACACTGGCTGTCTGGAAGCTTCTCTTCATCATTGACGGCCTGGATGAAAGCAGACTTTCTCTGGACTTCAACAACAATCTGCTTGTTTCTGACGTCACACAAAAGTCATCAGTCAATGTTCTGCTAATGAACCTCATCAAGGGGAACCTGCTTCCCTCTGCTCTCATCTGGATAACTTCCCGACCTGCGGCGGCCAATCGGATCCCTCCTTCCTGTGTTTCCAGGGTAACAGAAGTACGAGGCTTCACAGACACCCAGAAGGAGAAGTACTTCAGGAGGAGGTTCAGTGATGAAGAGGAGAAGGCCAGCAGGATCATCTCCCACATCAAGACCTCCAGGAGCCTCTTCATCATGTGTGGGATCCCAGTGTTCTGCTGGATCACTGCTACGGTTCTGGAGAACCTGTTGACCACAGAGCAGAGAGGAGAGCTGCCCAAGACCATGACAGACATGTACTCACACTTCCTGCTGGTCCAGACCAGGAGGAAGAGGAACAAGTACCATGAAGGACATGAGATGAGTGCACAGGAGCTGATGGAGGCAGACAGGGAAGTTCTTCTGAAGCTGGGGAGGCTGGCATTAGAACATCTGGAGAAAGGAAACATCATGTTCTACCAAGAAGACCTGGAGCAGAGTGGTCTGGATGTCACAGAGGCCTCGGTGTTCTCAGGAGTATGTACAGAGATCTTCAAAAAAGAGAGTGTGATCTTCCAGAAACCAGTCTACTGCTTTGTTCATCTGAGCATCCAGGAGTTTCTGGCTGCAGTCTACATGTTCCACTGCTTGACCAGCAGGAACACAGAGGTGGTGGAGAACTTCCTAGGGAACAACTATGGTGAATTCATGGAGGACTTCATTGACAAAGTCATGGAGAAATCCCTCAGGAGTCCAAACGGCCACCTGGACCTGTTTGCTCGCTTCCTTCATGGCCTATTTGTGGAGTCCAACCACAAACTCCTAGGCTTTCCAGTGGGTCAGATGGAGACCAGTCCAGGAACCATCCAGAGAGTCATCAAAAATCTGAAGGAGATGAACACTGATAGAATCTCTCCTGATAGAAGCATCAACATCTTCCAGTGTCTGATGGAGATGAAGGACCTCTCACTATTTCAGGAGATCCAACAGTTCCTGAAATCAGGGAAGCAGCTCTCAGAGATCCAGTGCTCAGCTCTGGCCTACATGCTGCAGATGTCAGAGGACGTTCTGGATGAGTTAGACTTGGAGAAGTACAACACATCAGAGAGAGGACGACTAAGACTGGTTCCAGCTGTGAGGAACTGCAGAAAGGCTCGGTGAGTTCAATGATGTCAATGATGTCAGATGTCTCATGGTGTGATGCTAATTCAGCTCTATTGTCCTCCTGGTTCTTCTTCATGGTTCTAGTTGCTTCTGGATGTTTTTGCTCTTTAACTTCTTCCTTCATTCTTTGGACTATTTCAACCATTCAAACATCTAAATGTTCAGCTTCTTCAGGACAGCTCTGCTGGAGCTTTTGGTGTTTTGGGATTTGAATTATTTTTAAAATATTCCACTTTGGATCAGTTTACATCTTCCATTGAAATGAATAGAAAACCTTCAGAATGTAGAAAATCTGTGTTTTCTCTAAAGATCCATTCAGCCAGAGATGCATCAGAACCTTTAAACACCTCTTCACTCATTGGGCTGTTAGCCCAGAATTCACCTTTTTAGTCTCTTTGACTGTTTTTATAAAATCACTGTTTGATGGAAACTTGGACCATTCAGATCAATCCCTGCATTGCTGCTGTTGCCTTGGAGATGAGTTATTTGGAACCAGAAGCAACTTTTCTTCCTGCCACTGATTTCCTACTGAGTTTGTAAATTAGAGCCAAAATGTATTGATGTGTGTCTGGTTTCAGAAAATGTCATTTCTGTTGGAGTCCTAGTTTCTGTCAGATCCTCCCAAAGCTCTGAGAACTCTGCTTGCAGAGTTTGGAACCATTTTCCTCATTAACACTTCATCTGCAGCCTTTGTTGAAGCTGTTAGATGTCCTCCATAAAGACCTGTAGAGACATGAGCTTTAACACTTTAGACATTCCAGCCTCTTCTAATTACTGGGAGAACTTTCACTGCTTTCTGCCTTTGGAAATTCTCAGTGACATACTCCCCATAATTGGGTTGTTAGAAATAGGGTGATGCTTTTTATTGGTGTTTTGGTCCATGGGGTAAATTTTTGTATTTTCTTGCCTTTTATTTATAAACTGATGAAGGGGCCTTATTCTAACATTTTAGTCTCTTTGACATTCAATTAATGATTTTTAAGGACAGTAAAAAAAAGCAGTTTTGATCATTGAAATGAGAACCACAGACTAAACAATTACACTGCATTGCATTTAGTCTGCAGTGTTGCAGATCAAATTAAATAGAGTGAACCACTGACTGTCACCATCTAAAAGATAGACTGCCCCACATAATCCCCAACACCCACAGTTTAACACCAGAGGAGAAACTAGGGTGATTCTTTAAACTATATACCAAAACATTTAGAGTTCTAGCTGCTGAACCTAATATTAGTGACATATTGAGCCTTGAACATCTTGAACTAGTAGCCAGAAGTGCCAAACACTGAACATCAGTAATCCTCCATTCCTGTGATCAAATAATTACTCAGCAAACTACATTAAATGGTAGTGAGAAGCTAAAGCCCCCTCATACCTTGATGATTTAGCCAGCGTATGCCTGACATCCCAGAGTCTTTTACAACGCTAGCATACACTGAACATTCTATGTGCTTTTTCAATTTTGGGCGTATGCATAGAGTATTCATAAAGATAAATTATATCCAAAAACAGGCTAACTTGTGCATAACGCACGGCAGCATGATGCCCATGAAATCTGAGAAGCCAAGGTCCTGAGGGGGGCACCGATGCGCCCAGAGACGCCTGTCTTGCATAAAAAGATTTCTTTAATCAAAGTATTAACCTCGCCTCCGTTTACCTCCTGCCAAAAAAAGAAAGAACAAATAAAAATGTGTAAAAAGAAAGAGGGTTTGCAGTCGCAGCAGACTCAGCATCATGTCTGCAAGGAATTTTAAAGGGAATTTTGTTGGTTGTAGGTGTGAACGCAGGGAAGATCCATCATACTCACCTTCTGGCTCACCATATGATGGGGATGTAGTCTGGAGGAGAACTGACAATTTGCTCCTATGAACCCACTTTATACCAAAACGCTCCCAATACGCCATTATATAGCTGTAAGTTGGAAACGCGTTTAAGTGCTCATCTGAAACAGGTCAGATACGTTGATATGTGTTGGAGATAAGTTCTTGATAAGTTACACATAAGTTATTCAATGGTTAGTCATAGGTTTTGGATAAGCTAGACACCACAACTTAGGAGAAACTTACATTTAATGTATGTCAACGATCAGATAACTGACCTGAAACTTATGGCCCACGTTTGAGCACACGCTGGCATAAGTTAAGATGCTGTCCCTCGAGGTACCTGCCATACGTCTATGTGTGCCATCATGTTTCTGCGTGCTCATAACTTATACAAAAAGTACCCGTAATTTAACAGACATATGCCAGCATTTTTACAAGATTTTTGTACGTCAAGCATACACTGGCTAAATCGTCAAGGTGTGACAGGGGCTTTAGCGGGTAATAAGTCACATCATTTCATTGAATGGTTTGTCCAGAAAAGGTTTTTGTGGTTCAGCGCCAGTGTGAGTGCCATCTTGTGGAGGAATAACAAATTGCAGATACAACTCAGATTTAAACATTACATATCAGTTCTACCTGTGCCAGAAACTCATCTCTTTCTCTCAGAATTTGACTTTAGATAGATTTAATTGATTTGAGATGATTACAGAAGCAAACACTGACAGTGAATGCTGCTGGATAAATAAAATCCACCAGTAAAACAAACATCAGATCTGTTCTCAGCACTTTGATCTGTTATGAGTTACTGGGGCCTGCAGTTCTACTGCTCTGATTGGCTGCCTGGAGTTTAAATTAGATGGATCAGAAGAATTTGAGGAGCAGTACTATGGATATGTCCAAGTTTATACAGATGCCTAAAAAAATTCAAACCTCGATAGTGGGGTGTTCCAGAATTCAGTATTAAAAAATCTAAAATAATTACTAATGGAATATCAGTTATGCAGTGGAGATTATGACAATCATTTTGGCTTTAGGATGGATTGAGGAAATTCATCCTGTAAGAAGTATAATACGTTCTGATTCAAGTTCATCATTATATTCCATATTAAATAATCATTCTATCAGTAGACCAGACATTTTATGAGAAAATAAATTTTTGATTTGTAGAATTCTTTTTATATGGATACCATCATATATAGGAGTAAAAGGAAATGAGTTGGCAAATAAATGTAAAAAACAAGCTATTGAAAATAGCTATATTGATATATTGATACCATTTAGTAAATTAAATCTATTATTAAACAAAAGGTTAAGGAAATATAGCAGAAGAAGTGGGAAGAGGATCGAACTGTAAGTTGGCTTTACAGTGTTTGAAGAAAAGTTTGTACAATGAGAAGAACAGGAAGAAAAGAAAAAAGGAAACCATTATATCCAGATTCAAGGGCGTAGGTTTGATTTGAACTTTGGTGGGGACACTATTGGTCGGGTGTCATTGGTGCTGCAATATGCGTGCCCATTTTTATGCTCGATGTGGGCATCCGTACTGATAAGACGAATTCATTGTTAAAAGAGAAAAGCATCATTTTGCTACATTAATAAAAATGTTATAAGCTCTACACTCATTAGATGCTGTTTATCAATGTTTGAAGTATCACTGGCTCTGATGAATGTGGAATTAGGACTGTTTTCCACTTTGTAAATGGTTTCATTTGCATGACTAATAGAGAAGGTAAATACAGTATTTTCTTTTGAAGATATACAAATTGTGCAGAGTTAAACCCCACTCTTATATTTTACCTACTATGCTCTCTCTGTATCAAGCAAAATAATACATTCATTAAAATATTAACTTCACTATAAAAGTTGAACATCTGGGCTGTAGTTACTCTATATAGCCCATTTCATGTATTTTATCTAGGGCTGAAAAAATGAATCGTATTAATTGATTATTTCAATAATCGTCAACTAATTTAGTAAGTGATTCATCATTAACTGGTGAATGGAGACTATAAAACATAATATAAATGTAAAATAAATGTCCCTTTCCCCTATAGAGCAATCAACTTAGATCAGTAATTATACCAAAATTGTAACAATACTATATATATATATATATATAATATATAAGATAAAAAAAAAAATTTTGTCTGTCAATATTCTCCATCCAGAACTCCTCATGTGGAAATATTTTAATTTCACCTGGTTTATTTAGACATCACCTGAAGCACTGAAGGGCCAGCTGCTTTACCTACAAGCTGCCCTGCATCATTATTACTGGATATCTGTGTTTCCTATAATCATATAATGTATAACTATGTTTTTAATAGTAAAGGATTAAATGTAACACAACCTTTTATCATTGTCCTATATTGCTTACTGTCTGACTGTTTAAATAGCTCCTTACTGTATGTCTATTTTCTTTTTTAGTGGAATCATCTACAAACACAACACTAAGAATGAGCCTAATTGTACCGTATTCAAATATAAAATAATTTTTAACAATTATAAAAGACAATATAACACTATCTTATCTGTAATTTAACATTATCCAAAATAAACAGCCAGATTCAAGCATTTTTACCAGACAGTAATGTTTGTACTAATTTACTTATAGACTGTGTGGAAATCTATGTAAGATAAAATCAATGTTTATATTCTTCCTTTGTTTGTTCTTGTCTTTATCCTATTTCTAGAAGTATAAATAGTCAATTAAATTACTATTATTATGTGGAACCCTAATTATGCTTTTTAAATGATAAACAGCAGATGTTTAGGCCCCATTTCTTGTTGTTGTACTCTATAAGAGAAATAACACCTGCTAATAATTATACCTTATAACTTTCTCAAAGAGTCATAAAAAAATGAAAACAGTAATAGCAACTAAATATTGGTAAAAAGGAAACCCTCACATTTTCTTTTTTAGGTGGCTGTGGATAAGAATTAGAAAATGTTGATGGCTTACAGCCTTTATTTGCCCATTTTGTGTCTTCAGAACTCCTGGCTGACTCAGAATATTTCGCTTTATAAAAGAAAAAAAAAGGTTTTTGTTTTTTAGTGTACATGATATTCATTTTTTTTTATTGGGACTAGTTTTGTAGCCTAATATTTATTGTAGTAACCGCAGCATTCTAGTGTGAATAAATTTTCAATTTTGTGCTCCAAGCACGCCA